ATATTGCTTACACAATTGCTAAAGAACACAATGGATTTTGTCTTTCTGATAAGTATATTAATAGCAAGACTCTTTTAAAATGGTGTTGTTTCAAAGATCATAAGTGAAATGCAACACTTTATAGTATAAAAAATTGAAATTTATGATGTCCCGCTTGTATAGACCATCATCTATTTTGTCTTGAAATTGCTAAAAGGATTGCTAAAGAAAGAGGTGGACTATGCCTTTCTAACTAATGTAAAGTTACCAAAGAATTATTACAGTAGAAATGCTCTAATGGGCATGAGTGGTCAGCAACTTATAATAATGTTATACATAGAAAAAATTAGTGTATGAAATGTTCATATAGGAATCCTTGCACAATTAATATTACCATAAATATTACATATGAAAAAAATGGGAAATGTCTTTCTAAAAAATATATCAATAGTAATTTGCCATTATTATAGCATTGTAATAAAGGCTATGAATGGAATGTCTGTCTCTATAATATAAAAATTATAATACTTGGTATCCATATTGTGCAGGTCGTAGTGTATCTAAATATACTATTGAAAATGCTAGAAAATTGCACATAGTAGAAATGGAAAATGTCTTTCTAAAAAATATATTAATACCATAACAGCTTTATTGTGATGTTGTTTTAAAAAGCATGAATGAAATGCAACACTCAATAGCATTAAAAATGCAAATTTATGGTATCTCCACTGTTCTAAATGATATGCTTGTAATATTGATCAAGCTAAGAAAATTGCATTTAGCTAAAATGGTGAGTGTCTTTTTACCTCATATTTTAATAACTATTTAAATCTATTATAGAAATGTGTTAAAGGACATATATGATATGCAACACTTAATGCTATTAAAGATCAAAATACCTGGTATCCATTCTGCCTTAAATATAAAAGAGAAAAATTATGTCGTGAAATTTTAACAGAATATCTTGGCCAACCTTTACTAATCTGCAGGCCTGAATTCTTAAAAATACAAGAATATTTGAATGGATTAGAACTTGATATATTTTATCCACAGTATGGCTTTACAATCGAAATACAAGGCATATAGCACAAAAAATATTACAAATTCTTTCACGGAGGAGATCCCAATAATTTTACCAAATAGCAAGAGCGAGATTAACTCAAGAAAGAACTATGTGAAAAGAACCAGATTGTATTAAGGTATGTTTGATATTACAAAGACCTATATGTAGTTATTTCTGAGCATCTTCGTGAATTAGGTCTCATTGAATAAACTTAAAACTTTAAATACTCTATAATCGTACATGATATCTGATAATGCATTTATTTTTTATTTAAACAGATCTGATCACTATAGATGGCTCAGCTAAAATTAGTATCACATATGATCTCTCTAGTTCCCTACCAGTTCCACGACACTTTTCTGGCACTTTCATGACACTGAATGGTTTCTCAAAATCACGGGTGATCGACATATCATGTGGATTTAAAAAATGGTTAAGCCACTATTATTATTTGATTAAATCATTACATTGATCAATTATTTTGCCTCGTAATGATCTAACACATCACTCGATATTTCTATAAAATGGGCTTCCATTCCTTTAAGAAACCTCTCACTGATGTAAACATGTCTTCTTTTACTGAGTGATCTAACGTTTAAGTTTGCCTTCTTATCAATGAATGTAAATAGAGAAACGCTGAATATAATGCAATCTTAAATAAGAAGAAATAATATATTTAAGATAATATCATCAGTAAGCTTAACGAACAAAAGAATACTAATTTTTTTCTCGATAAAATCTGCTAAAAGAAGTTCTTAAGCCTTATGAAAGCTTTTAATATAAGTAGGCCTACTTGAATTTTATATGAAATCTAAGGTTAATATACTTATTATTTTTTAGACAGCCAAAAGATATAGAAAAGGAACTGGAACTAAGAAGAGCTTGGTTGGGAAGAAAATATACAAAGAGTTTTTAACGTTGTTTTGGTTAAAGCCTGGTATGTTTCTGTAGAAGATATTTTTTCATGTCTGTTTATTAACACAATCTAATTTACTAGAACTATCCTTCGATCAACAATATAATGAAAGTGTTAGAATAAAAAGTGGGACAAGCTTATCATCTTATTCATCATACATTAGATCTGAACAAACATCAAATATTGCAGATTTATTTGAGACTTCCCCTTCAGCATCAAGACCAGTGATACCATCTGTGAAAGCATCTACCATTTCTAGGCCTGCCATTCTTACACTTCCCTCTTTTTCTCAAAGTGTGAAGGTGATTAATGTCACTATTAATTACAGTAGCAGTGATTTCAAAGAAATTAGTTCAGACAAGTAAAATTAGACTGAATACATTATTTTTCTGAGATGCAAACTAGAAGCTTTTATATTGATGGGCTGGGGTTATATAAATTTTTTCTTTAGCATTTTATTTTATAACATATTACATTATGTTCTAAGCTTTATTACAGATTTGCATTTGTATATAATAAAAAATCAAAATTAGAGATTCTTTGAGACTAAATCTTTATCATATTTTTGTAAAATAAAGCAATCATAATTATATGTTAAAAAAATACTAGGTCTGGTATGAACAGATCTAGGGATCGCAAAAGTTTATTTTATTTTTCATTGATAATCTACTGTACATATGCAAAGCGCTTCTGGCTAATCCATTAGCATTATCATGACGCTAAGTGATTCTGGATAATTAGCTGGCTAATTTAGTCATATGAATTCTTATTTGAAATCTTATTGGGAGAAGTGCAATCACTGGTGAATACATCTTTACATAAAACTTATTTTAATTTTAATTATTTTCTATTTTTTTATCACAATAAATAAATTTATTCACATACGTTAATTTATAATAATCATTATAGATCTAGTATAATGCATTTGCGAAAAAAGAATATATTACATAAATATACTATAACACACGTTTAAAAAATTTGAAGTAAATCTTTATTATATTTTTGTAAAGTAAAATATGAGAAAAGACTAAGTAAAAAATGAAACTAATAAAGATATTAGAGTAGATCACGATTAAAAGAGGAATCACGCCAGCCCCTGAACTGTAAAAGGTAGTTTTTTCTCACTATCCCATATTATTTTTATTATTATTATTTGCGCTACTCGCATTATTATTAATTAAAATATTAGTAATTTCCTTTTCATCTATCTAACCCATAATTGCCATTACTATATTAAATTTTGGATCCTCTTGACCATAATAAAAACTTTTCACAGTACTTTTCCCAATCTTATATCCAGTAAGTTCATGAATTTCACGTCTAACAGTTTCAAATGCATAATCTAAAGTTTCCCTTTCTTCCTTATTCAAATTAAAAACTCGTTTAAAACGACTCCTATTTTCTTCAAAAGCTGTATCAGATAATTGACTAGAAGAACTTTCACTACTAGAGGAATGATTGGTAACACTCAGTTGATCAAAATTGACCTGAAGTCTTTAGACATTTGCATAATGTTGGATCATTTCATTTTAAAGAGCTTCAATAGAGGTCCTGATCGAAGTGAATTCAGATGAAATGTTACCAAAATCATTATAACAGATTTCTTCAATATTATCAAATCTTGTGATCACATTATTGACCATTGATAAAATTTTCTGCATCTCAGAAAAGTAGCCAGCATTACGTGAATTGATTTTAGCGATTTCTCTGGTAAGTTTCTTATTAAGTTCATTATTATTTCTCACAAGTTCCACAGTGAAAGTAGAATTAATTTCAGAAATATGTGCAGAAACTTCGTTGGCAATTTTAGAATTAATTTCTGTAATAAGTTTATTGAAGATGTTTTCGATTTCTAGTGTATTATTTTTTGTATCAAGATCATTAACGATTCTAGTGACATGTGCAGAAAGTTCATTGAAAATTTTTTGTTTAAAATTTGACCACATGGTAACGATTCTCACAAATATCACTGGCAAAAAACAGCGGTTGAGACCAAAAATGGTATGCTTCTAGAAGAGGTGAGCAATAACAAACTGGATATGATTAAGCGTAGTAATTTTATTAAGATCTTATTGGTGGATCAAGTTTTTTAGATATTAATGATTGACTTTTTTTTTAATATACATAAATGTGCTGAGAAAAAAATTTATTTTATACTGTATGCTTACTATGTGTGAAAAGAAAATTTAACCTGATTTAATAAAAATTACGTTGCTTTATTATATGTATTTATCATAACTACATTTTTCATAATTATATTTTCAGTTAAAATAACTATAACAGTCTAGATTCCGTCTAATAATAACAAATGTTCCTTCCTGAATTTGAGGTGCATTTAACAATAGTACTTAAAATAAAATCTGACAAATTACGGTTTTATGACAACTTAATATAATACTAATAGAGAAATGCTGTGTCTCAAAATTTTCTATTTATTTCTAAGATCTCTTGCGAAACAGAAGATCGCATGTGATGCATCTTTATTTGAGTTCAACCCTTATTTCAATTGTAATCACAAAAAAGGAATATAAAATGGAGTGGATTGAGATCTGTAGATGACGAATCGCATATGTATCCACTAATTTCTATTCAAAAATGAATTAACGTGCTATTAATCATACACGTAATTTGAATGCGCTAAACGTCATTAAGATAATAAAAAGTTACCGTTTATCTGAGGATCTGTAAATCATTGATTCTAATCAGTTCTATTTTCATTTTTAAATTTCTTTTTAATGATGCCCTGTCTTACGATTCGCAAAATGTAAATCAGGGATGTAGTTTTTTTATTAGTAATTCAGAACCACGTAATAAGTGAAATAGATATACCAGAACTTCTTACGGCTTGACGTTGGGAAAATTTCATCACTATAGCAACACAAAAATATTGCTTTTAGCCAAAGGTTATTAATAGATTCTCTAAAATTAACGACTGCAGATACTGGTGCTGTACTACTGCACAACGCTAATTTCTAAGCCACTTACATGATTTTGAACGAACCAAGTTTGCTGAAATTTTACGTGACTTTAGAAGAACATCTTTTAGAAAATGATTATTTGTCTATGTATTTCAGAACCTTTATTTTCAGCACTATTAAGCAGATCCACCACTCTTTCTGTAATTGTCACTTGATGTAATATCGCAACTGATCCACAGCTTAACCATCCTTTTTTACCTTTTCCTATTTGAATGATAAAATCGGTTATGTGATTATCTATTTTATTTCTATAGTATTTTGCTTCAGAGAAGAGTCCAACTTGACTGGATGCATCACAAAATGCCTTTATACTAAAGAGTTCTCTCATTAAGAAGTGATATGCTTTTTCTCTTGAAACATCGTATTAGTTTTTGAGCTTAATTGAAAGATTAATAAAGTTATCAACCTAAAGCATACTTTTTCAATCATATGATAATACTTCGTGAACTTAATTGACTATTAGATCTTGATACACAAGTTTTTGTAATTTTGTATCTATTATTGTAAGACTTCTAGACTGAGTCTCATTGGCTAATAGTGTAGATTGAATATGTCTTTTATTCTTTTTACGAACCATACTCTTGACTTTAGAAGAGTGAATTCAAAATTTTAAAGAAAAATAACATTATATACAATTATTGTGGAAAAGTATAGATGATGTCTTCCTGCGTATGATATATTCTCAGCTAAGCCACCTACGTGATTCAAAAAAAGAAATATATGATTTCCATAATTCAGTTTAAGTGAGTATTCTAGGTAATCACTGGAGAGATTGGAGGTGCGAGATCATCAATATATATATATCATAGTTCTCGTGAACTTCTATGAGTATTTTATCAAAATTGTCATCAACCTAGCAGTATCATGTATTTAGTGACATAACATATTTTCATCTGATGCTAGGTATTTACTATAGCGCAGAGCGACCATAGACGATAGAAGCTAAATAACCTAAATTGAAGATAAAGTATTTTGGTATATTATCATTATAGAATAAATTTATTCTAATACTGGTGCTGGTGATAAGATTGAGGTATGCAAATTCTTGGAGGCTTTAGGATTATTAAATAATGAAGTCTCACCCGTCAATATGGATGATAATAATAATAATGAATTTGATATTGACGAAGAAGATAGTGATGATGATCAGGACAATTATTGGAATTCTAGGAAAAGATATACTGGATGGGATTATAAAAAACATTTTAGTGAAGATGCTTTAAAAAAACTTTATCAAATCCAGGAAGCTTGTCATCAGAACATTGTACTCATGGAATTTACTAGACATCTTCCAGACATATCTGATCGAGAAAAAAATAGATTATTCAATGCATTCTCTAGGTCTAATACATTTAATGCGAAAGAACATAATACACTCTTGGATATGTTAGCTGATCCTGTGAAAGGTTGGGATCTTAATAATTATTGAATAGATAATTCCCAGCAGATACAAAAGAATTATTTAATATTATATGGTAAATGAAAAACTGTTTTATTAATACATGTGAAAATAAATACAGGATTCGAGACACTAGCCCACGATACATATTATTTTTTGATTAATTTTTTGATCCTAGCTCTCTTACTAGTTGGGGAACTATCTACATTAACCCTATCCTTCAACAACTCAATAATTATACCTATTACCCTTTTCACATTGTTTCGAAGTAGTTCAGAATTTTCTTTAACAGCGGACTTTATAAGATTAATCTGATATTCGCTACCGCTTGTGAAGACGATGCCATCCAGAGTATATATGATAAAATGCCACTCTGTATCTGTAATCACAATATTATAGATATAGTCCTATTGTATTCTCACTGGATATATCTTTCTGTAAAACTATAAATATATCTTAGGAGGTAAGTTTTTTAGCTATAGTGATAGATATATGGAGAATCAATAAAATAAATTCACAGTATATTGCCTCGCTAGCGTCAATTATAGTTTTTACATTTGAAAGTTTTAATATAATGTCTTCTATATAGTATTCGAATTCCTTATCATCATCACTAATCTCCTCGAAGACTGCAGGCAGAGAAAAATAAGTTAATATATATAATACTTCAATCTGAAAAATTAAGAAGATAATCACATACCAGGAGTAAACTACTTGATATTTGTTATGTCTTCCCTGTTGACCTTATTTCTATGCAACATTTCCTTCAAGTCATCGAGAGTTTTAAGTAAGAAATAGTTTTATAATTTCTGGCTGAGACTCTTAATAAATTCTGCAAGTCTTTTTGCAGAATCAGCTTTCATACCATAACTTTGAAATTCCTCTTTACTTGTATTAAGAAAATCACTACTAGCTATTTCTTTCTTATGTAAAATTTTGAAGTAAGACTTCTCTAACTTCAAATTTTTCTTCTTCAAATATTCGATAAGCTCCTTTATATTAAAATTCTTAACAACATCTGATATTGTTTGTAAAGAAACTTCTTCTATTATTGAGCTTAGAGAAGAAGGTGTAGAGGATTGTAAAGCTATAGTTTTTATATATGTGAGTTTGTGCTTGCGAAAAAATATGTATTTGACTGCAATTACAGATAAAGCGGATTTATGGATAAAAAAGTATTTTGGTTTCAGCACTCAGGTAGAAATAATATATAGATTTTTATATCGATTCATAATACATTTGCCCAATATATATGCAATTAAGATATAGTACAGGATTGTTAAGTGATATTATTATATCATTACACGTGACATTTTTCAAGATTTACGATAAAAATATAATATATGCTTTATTTAAGAATAAAAAACATTACTGGAAGCCTGCCTACAATACATAAAAATCTTTGAAAAGTTACTAGTTATAATAATTATATATATTTTCCTCTACAAGAATATGATGAATGTCTATGGTGATATTCTCATCAAAAAAATCTGAAACCAAACTCCCTCCTCACATAGCAATGTATCTTACGGACCTAGAACAAAATGCGCAAAGATAAAATGGAACATTTCTGAATGGTTATGATAATTGTTGCTAAATCTAAGCGTGAAGATTTCTGATCGAAGCTCCGTTAGAGATTGTAATCGTTCGATTAACATTATCATGTGAAATTTTAATGAAGTGACCAGTGGAGATAATAAGATATCTGAGGGTAATATTGGCCATTTTTTTTCATTTTTCTAAATATAAAGGCTGTAATAAGAAAAAACTCACTCCTATACATAATATATATATATCTTAAATTTTTTCTGAAAAAGTTAGCTGAACTTCTACATACTCCTATATGCTTTATATCTTGCTGGAAAAAAGTTAAAGAGGTATAAGGCGTAATTAGTATTGTCATTTGATGTTAAGAGTTCCATAAAAGCACATGTAAATGGAATTCTTATACCTTTTCACATGGAGATCTACCCTGCAAAATATATAGTTAGCTTTGCGCCTAGTGATCATGAAATTACAAAGTTCTAGGCCTTTTACAACATATACTTTTGTTGTAACTATTTACTTTTAGAGTTGATCCTGTGTTGCTTGTAGACATTCTTTTACATTTTTCTCATGTTCATTTAGGAAAAAAATAGAGATACTGGTTAGTATGAATATTTTTCTTTTCGAGTATATGCAAATTAACATATCGCACAACCTGTCTGATGATCCACTTATTTTTTGTCATACAATTTGGCTGAAGGTGCTGTACATGGCTCAGCAAAAAATCTTCTGAGCTGGTGACCACCGCTCTGGTTGATGATCAGTATTTTGAACACAAAATTGAATGTATGCTAACTAGAGATAAACATAATCATAACAAGTAATACTAATATTAGTTTTGATAAAAACGAAGCTCAATTATATGAAATACTTCTATATAAAAAGAAAGATATAATAGCTATTCAGAAAAAGCTCAGTATGCTTTCAGACTGAAGGAAGTGACCTATTAAGAATATATATCAAATAGCATTAAATCAAAGCAAAAAAGGAAAAACACTTGAAGATTCGTTTGGGCTGTTATTTGATCTAGTGAAGGAATTAATAGATATATAGGAAGATCTTGATGTGATCAGCCACCCCATTCTTACTACATTATATGAAAATATGCAAGATTTTGATAAAGTAACATTTGGAAAAATGTTACTTGGAACATTATATTATTTGCTTTTATATTTGGAAAAGGATATAAGCATGATTCAAGATTATCTTGGTATTAACAGTCATTCTGATTAGGAAATAAATGGATTAGAAGAAGCCAATAAAAATGCAAGAGCGTATCTTCAAAACTTCTGACAGTTTCTTACTTTTAGTGAGTATTAACATGCCTGAACTATTTTCTGCCAAAGGCGTAGTTCAGAGGAAAGTAAAAATGTTTTATTTTTCTGAGCGATGATCCACATTTTTTTATTACACAATCTGTGGCTTAGCAAATTCTTTCGAACTGATGATCACCACTCTGGACTAACTAGATTGGTAGTGTACCACCTCACCATAGAGGGTCTTATTAATTTCAGATTAAGAAAAGCAGAAATAGCCAAAGTATCTTCGGAAAAATTATTATTAGAGAATCCAGATTAGATCAAAATCTGTACATTAATAACCTGTCTAAGATAATCACTAAATATAGTAATAAAATCAGATACATTTTCCTTTTTAGCTTGAATAAGCATTTCTACCATTTTATCAGAATCAATATTATAACTATAATAACATCCAAATCTTGCGATATACCTTTGACTTTTTAATAACAATCCTTTAAGAAATAATTCTCTAAGATGATTTTTACAGAGCTTGATAACATCATTATATCTCTTTATCTTCGAGTAATAATCCACTATTGAGTCTTTACCTTGAAGTAATAACCCATACCAGAACTTATTTACCTCATTTGAATTGTTATCTACCTTAATCTCATTTTTATTAATACTATTCAGCCATATTTCCTCTTAAAGTTTATGTGAATAATATGGCAATTCTATCAGATTTAATATTTGTAGAAGATAAATAGCATTGGATTGTAAGAGTACATGAAATAATGATGTTAGATTTCTTACATTGGGCAGACTATATACAAATCGTTTAAGTGTTTTCTTCCTCCAATGCCTGACTGCCTTTGTCTTCCAATAAATTTTGATTTCGCAAAATAGATCTTCCTAATCTTGCCACTCTGGTATAAATTCAGAATTCCCTTCATTATTCTATTCATATTTTGATCCATATTCTTTGATAAATTCATTGTAGCCTTCATCTGTGTTATTTGACATTTTGCTAATAGAACAATTATATTTAATAAAAAATAAAGTACTGGTTAGCAAGCATAGCTTCTTTTCAATATATGCAAAAAATAATTATGTAAAATACTGCGATTTGCCTCCTCTGACTTGCATATATGCATCATATCACTAGTCTAGTCATAGCAGTAACTGTTTACAATGTTCACCGCTCTGAATTAGCTGGTTTAAAAGAACAGTCATCTTTTTACGCAAACTCTAGCTCCTGTATCAATCTATCTAATATTAATTTAAGATCAATTATATAGGCTTCTTGTTGAAATTCAGGTGCAACCCTTACTAGAAACACCTTTTTAATATTTTTATTTGCATTTTCTATAATTTCATCTAACTTTCTATATTATGCAAATTGATATTAAATCTTATACTTTACTATATGAACCTATATCCTTAATTGAAAAAATAATATTAATGTATGCATAGTGACTTCCCTACCTACTTGCTTATACGTCAGAAAAAAATATATAATATTTATTTTAATATTATAACTTGTCTTTCCTATATATTTACCATTCATTAGTCTAGCTTATAAAAAGCTTTGCTGAAAGACAGTTAGATTGACATTGCTCTGAGTATTTGTTCTATTTCATCATCTGATCTTTTGTGATTCTCCTTTTTAGCTATATGATAATAAAGCTCATATAATTCCTTTAGGCTGATACATAGATTATTATCTGCATATCTTTTGCGATAATTTTCTAGCCTTAGAATCTATGCCTCTTTGTTAAGAAATATCTTGATTGTGACTGTTTTAATATAGTCATTCAGATTCTTTTCAGCTTGCAATTTCTTTAGATAGTCTCCATAGTTTTTTGTAAAATTATCATATTTTCTACCCTTTTGCAATGCAGTTTTTATGACTTTGACTTATGCAAGTTCTATATCTTTATAATCGACCATTTTTGTATTGTTTCTACTATAATGATAGAAAAACTTTAATTAATGAAAATATATTCTTTAGAATTATTTTATCTGAAAAAAATATTTGTTATAAAACATCTATGTCTTAACACGAAGTTTAGCTTTCATAGCCCTTTTTTCTGTTTCCTCAGAAGCTATTTCAGATACTACCAGATATTTATATAATCCAATTCGCTAATATCCATAAGAGAGAATTTGAATTTCATCAAGTAAGATCTAACACTTGTTATCATATGGATTCAGCCTTATCTTATTTACCCTCTCTAGATATATTTGATGATTATAACTTTGAAGGCTATACATATCATGCTAAGTTAGTTTCTTGTTCCTAAGATATTCTAAGAACTTATAATGTTGAAGCTTCCTTTTGACCACGCATTTCTTTACACCCTTTGACTTCTGGATGCCATACTTTTTCTCCTATTTCTTTTCACCCTGTGACTTTCTATATTCTTCCTCTTCTAATTCTTTTTTAAAATCTGCATTCGTTTTAGGAGTTTTAGGATCATGACCTGCTAGAAGAATTAAATACATTTTTGGCTTTAAGCATACTGATTCGTCTATTAGATCCCCTTTTGTTTCATCCTTCATTAGAAATAATTCTCCTGAATAGTTAAGATTGAAAATGTCTGATCTTTCTGCTCGATCTTTATATATGTCTTCAGTTTCTATCTACATTATGAGCGAGTCTGTATTTGTATAAAGTAGACAGGCCTTATCTTTATAGCAGTGTGTAAAATTCATGTGCACAATGTGCACATGTGCACATTAAATTTTTATGTGCACATATTACACAGCATAAAATGTGCACAAATAATTACTAAAAATAGATAAATTATATATAAAAATGGATAAATTATTTATAAAAATGGAAATACTATGTAATACATGCATTAATTTTCTATTTTTAGTACAACTTGTGCACATAACTTTTGGTTCAAATTTTATACACTGCTTTATAGCGAGGCTTTATGTAACTGTACTAAAAGTTGAATATCATAGCCTTGCTAATGTCGAGAATTGCTTATCTTATATAGTATCACCAGATTCATTTTCGTTTATCTTAATGTCTAAGTTAAAAGGCTGCGACAGCTGATTCTATACATTGAAGTTTCTGATCTTAGGATTTTCTCTAAGTCCTACAGGTATCTGTTATACTTGAATCAACTCAGCAATTTATCACGTCTTAGAATTTAAGATATATTTAATCGAACTTATAATGATGAACTCAATAACAAGTTCGTGTAGAATATCACAATAATCCTAGATGAGGGATAATGTTGAAGGGAAAGTAATTTGTATGGATTTAAATTAATTCCTTTATTTATAACTTGAAACTCGTATGAAACTTATAAATAAGTTAATTTACAACTTAAGCAAAAAGCTATTCTATTTATACAAAATGACTTTACTATGGCTAACTATTTGCTATGCTATAAATTAACTAAATATAGATATATATCTCAATAAAAATATATTTAAATATAATAAAATAATAAAAAGAATAAAATAATAAAAAGAAATAAAATAAATTATAAATGTCAAAGAAATTATAGATGAAATAAAGTAAACAGATTAAATAGACTGTTTAGAAAATACAGGAGAAACAAGCATATCAAGCGAAACAGAAATTATTGCTGATCACTATTTGGCACAGCAGTGATATTATCTAATATGAGGTCATTATTGATCGACAGATTCCATATAATATTTGGAGTTGCAATTTCTTCCGTTAATAATAGATTGGTTTGTTTAGAGTTACTGTACTTTTTAATATATGGACTGCTGTAATTCTCCCTTCAAATGCTTTAAAGCCTATATACAATGGTGAACTTGCTAGGTGCCTGATTTTTTATCCTTTTCTGTTTAGAGTAATTCTACTCTCATATATTTACAGACATTCTCCATCTGTTTGCTGAAGATTGCATTATTTTTTAACTTATAGTATATAACTCCAAACTCATTCCCAGTGGCCTTAACTATTTTGTGTTTACAAATATTTTTCTCAATATATTCTTTCATCTATAAAGATTGCTAGAATTTTAATCCTCCATGAATCTTTATAACTTTCATCCCCATTTTTATGTATAATTGAAGTGCATGATAATGGATCACGTAGTTCTTTTTAGGATAAAAAGTTTAGACAAGCTTTTCTCCTGTTATATATTTTCCGTTCCCAACTTCTTTATCATGTACTAATCTTTCATTATGCAAGTTAAGCCATTCTTCTGGAACTATCTGCTTTTCTGGTGCTAAAGGATAATCTGCAAAGAAATTATGTAAGTGCACTGGGGCTTTTAGATTAACTTCCAATATATATTCTATTTTAGCATCTGGTGCAATACTTTGTATGTCCAGAACCTGTTCTGGGCTTACTTTTCCCAATATTTCTGTAGACATGTATTGGGTCATCACACCTGAATATAAAGCATTCATATTGTTATATAAGATCCAAGATGTTGGTTTGCCTAGATTGTAATTGAAATATTAGCTTTAGCATAATGGTGACTTGCTATTGTTATGCTTTCACGAATACCTTTCTCAACTATTAAGTATTTATCTATATCTGTCATTAGCTTAAGTTTAGCTTCATTACTTTTGTATAAGGAATCATTAAACATTTCTGATGCAGGTACGTAATGAGAGGGATCTAAGTCATAGTGTAATTCATGAAAACATCTGCAAGTAAAAGTACGTCAGTTTCAAGATATAAGTCATGATATTCTTCAAAATTCTTCATCTCAAATTCCTGCCATATCTTTTGAGCATATTCATAATCCTCTTTACTAATATTTTGTTGGCTAAGAAGTGAATAGAAATCCTTTCTAGGTAGGAGACTTGTTTTGTCGAATTTTTCCCATGTATTTGTCTAGTCGTATGGAAAAACACCCTTTCGAAAAAGAAGCTTAATCTTATCTATTGAATAGCCTTTCTCAGTAAAGTATCTAACAGTTAGAGGAAATTTTTTAAGCTTTCTTTCTAGACATTCTACTAATTTATCTAATCCCATTCCCATATGCTGAAAGCTATCAAGAAATCAAAGCTAGCCAACGTCTATGGCTTTGTACTTTCCTATATTTTCTGGGATGCAATTTAGCTTATCAGCTGTAAACTTACTCATAACTTTCATAAGCAGATGAGAGTCATATCTCCAGAAATTATGATATATAAGAGGCACTTTAGTTTCAAAAGAGCTTATTCGCAATTTTTTTTTACAAAAGTCATAAGCTGGGCCTCAGTACTTTCCATTTATATGATCATGATCTTTTACTTTTTGATTAAATGCATTTAAAACTTCTCAGTATCTTTTTTGTGTCTCTTTCTTTTTAGGATGTTCTTTTTCTATGCATGTTTCTCATTCTTTGATTTTTAATAAATTATGCTTTACTTCTTCAAGTTTTTGTAATATCTCTAATGCTGGTTTTAAAAAAAGGTCCCTTACAAATCCAGCATTCTGTCACCTCATTGTATACTTTAAGATCTCCTAGTGCCATTATCATTTCTGCAAGTGCAGATAAGTCCTCTTGTATGTTTGCCAGCTCCTTCTCTATTTTTGTAATGAATCTTACAAGTACATCTGGATCCTATATAAATCTTGATTTATGATTTCATAATTGAGTGAACTATCCATATAAACAATTACATAGCAATAGTCACACAGCTTGTGCATCTGTAATCTTTCGGTATAGGTTAATTTTGTCTTCTCTTCAGGGGTTAACTTTTCGGTTAACATTTCTAGATCTCAAAAAATGTGATATAGATTTGGTTACATGCATTTATAGTTATAAAAAGCTTTGATACTCCTATTCTTAATATGCATTTATGATCACTGAAGGGCATTATTTAGACCCTTGCATTTTGACAAATGTTCATTATATCTTATCTCTAAAAAGTATACATAAAGACAATAATGACAAATATATTTTTGCCCTTTATGTTTGCTATGATTATATACTAGCTTATGTAAATCTTTGATAATACAGTAGTAACTTCTTTTTTCTTTTGTAATTACTAGAAGATTTACTTGTTTATATTCATCTTCTCTTCTTTCTGAAATATAGCGAAAGTTAAGACATTTATTTTAGTTGTGTCATTTATAGACACATAGACTAATTTTAGAATTATTTTCTTTGAACTTTTTATAAACTGGTATTGAGACTGACACTGGAACTGGAATATCATCCATATTAAGCTCCTTCACGAAATCTCCATATAGCTGATGCAAATTTCTTTCCAGATGAACTTTAACTGGATGCAAAGCTCCTAGGACATACTATCTAAAATATCAGCTATCATTATTTTGAATATTAATAATTCTATTATTATGTTTTAGCAAAGTTTCTGGCAAAGGTATATAGGCAGTAAGACCAATCAGATTAAAATCAGCTATCTCTATACTAAATTCTTCTATATATTCTGGGTAAGTATCAGACATTTGGTATATTAGTTAGCTCTAACCATTACACTATTACTTGCTTATATAATTTTTTTTAATTATTTATTTCCTATGTATCTATTATTTTTTAATCAGTGAAGATGGTATTTGCAGGCTTGTCAAAACAGTTCTAGCTATCTTTTCAAAATTGAAGCATTAACTAATTATTAATTATTCTTTTGATATTTAGTGATATAAAATAGGATGATCAGTGAATATTCCTGCCTATTTCTCTGCAATACTGAAAAGGTTTGTAGAAGAGCTTCTACTAGGCCTACTGGATGTCGATTTTATTAGAAATCAAAAAAATAGTTACCATGTTTTGATTGTGGTAAGCCAACTGCTTCTGCTTGTGACCGATGTTTAGATTATATCAGAGGATATTATGTTATTTAGTTTTATGACAGGCTTCAATCAGAAAGTCTTCAATTAGAAATATAAGATCAGAGATACGTGAAAGACTTCAATCTGAGACATAAGAAAAAACTTATGAGGAAATAATGCTTGCTTATAGTGATGCATTTGCAAGTCTTAATATTTCTCTTTATAAGAAATGCCTCTATCTGATAAAACTAGAAGAGGGAGAATATTGTGATAGATGTCAGTCAGAATAAATGAAAAGATTATTTCAGCTAAAGCTTTACCTAAATTTTGCTAGAATTTGGGAGTACAATATTCAATAGATATTTGCCTCTCCCTTATTCATAGAACTTCGGGATGATAATATGGATATAATTTTTTATTATCCTCCCACTGTTCTTGGATAATTCCATAGATTTTATAGAATGATATTGATTTTTTCGTTAGATTTAATAAATTTTCCAGTAGGGCGGAATCATTAGACTTAAATGAATAATATATTAGATAAGAAGTTAGCTAATGTGAAGCCAATTCCTGATATATATTTTTTATTAGACTTATAAAATTCCCGGCAAGGTGAAATAGTTAGACTTAAATTTTTTTATTAAAGTTTTATACTATTTGATGAGCTAGCCTATGCTGATCCCGTTCTTAACTAAGAAAAAGTTGGGATAATTCTACAGATTTTGCAGAGTAACATTTTGTTAGACTTTTATAAAAAATATGCTTTTTAGTAAGCTAGCCTGCATTGAACCTATTCTTGATTAAGGAAAAATTAGGACAAAAATCCTGTTAAACTTATTTTTTCGTTAGACTTATCTTACAGAATGGTATAATCAGGGGAAATTGAGACAGTTAGACTTATTTTTTCATTAAAGTTAGATAAATATTATGTTATTTTATTAAGCTAGCCCACATAGAGCTATTTCTAAATAAACCATTTTTCATTAGACTTAAGAAAATTGTTAGATTTATTTATAGGGTAATAAGGATCATTAGACTTATTTTCGTTAGACTTAATTTTTTGTTAGACTTAATGATGGGATAATAAGGACTGTTAGACTTATTTTTATTAGACTTAGCTAGTTAATATGCTATTTAAAGAGTTAACTCATGCAGAATTAATTCCTGATATAATAATTTTTGTTAGATTTAATAAATATAACTGAAAAGTTGATATAGAAATTAAGAATCTAGAGCCTTTAAAAGCTTTTCTAATATATTAATAAAAATTGATATACTTTCTGAAGTTGTAGAATCCCATAGAACTTTAAAATATAATATCAAAATTAAGATTCTAGAGTTAATAAAAGCTTGTCTAATATAATAAGAAAAATTGATATTGTTTTTAACTTTTTGTGGTCTACATATAATGTTTCAGTAGGAGGATCAGACCTTCAGTCCTCAAACTTCCATTTTCACATTATGTGTTTTCTTTACTACCATAATACAAAAAAAAACAATCACAATAAAGTAAAATAAAAGAAAAGAAGTTACTATACATAATAAAAATATTGCTTTTTATAAAGTTTATAGAAATTATTTGCGAATACTTTTATAAAAGTTAATTTATAAGTAATTCAGATATAATCTAGTTATAAGAAAGATATAATATTTTGAATAATAACTTTCATTTTACTGAATAACAAACAATAGATGTTAGTAGTAGAATATCATTTGTCAATAAAACTTAACAGATAGCATTTTAAATTAATTAATAAATACAATAATTCTATTTAGTAAAATTCTATAAAAATAATATTTTTAGTTAGAAGATGGTATTACTAATATTTTATAAGCTATATTTACTGAACTAGAAAAATAAAAGAAATAATATGCTAAATTTTTTACAATAAAATATTATTATCACAAAGTTTATTATGAAATAAATAGAAAATAAAAATATTTTAATATTTTTATATTGATAAATTTCATTTAAATACATTTAATTTTTTTTAGTTAATATATATATATATCTTTCTTTTTTAAAAAAATTAGTTAACAAAATCATTTTTTTCAGTCATTTAAATATTTATGTATTTCCTTCTAGATTTTTTACTTAAATTTATTCTTTTGATAAAGTACTTACATAATTTAATATTATTTTAAAATTTTATTACCTGCTTCTAATTTTTTAAATTTATAAAACTTTTTACATAAGTATATAATCTGTTATTATACATTTTATTTTTAAAGCTTTTTAATAAATTTATACTTTAATAAATTAAATAATTTAACTATATCAAAACAGATAATATCACTTTATTTAATTATTATATAACATAAAAAAGAAATGAATTTTTTATTGTTTATATTAAAATTAATTTAATAATTCTTTTATTATTATTATCAGAATCTCTTTTATAATTGTTATAATATAAATAAAAAATGAATACTTATGATATAATTTTAAATTTAACACATAATAATTTAAAGCTTTCAATTCTTTAAGATTTATAAAACAATATATATATATATATATCAATTATTTTTTTTAATTGATTATTTTTATTATTTCTTGAAAGATAAAATCTTAGAAATAGCTTGACAAGCATTTTATTAGTAATTGAAAAAAATTTTCAAGTCAATTTAACTGAGATAATTTATTGAAATTCACTTAAAAAGAAGAATTTCAAAATAATATTAATAATGATATAAAAGATAAAAATAATAGTATTATAAATGAAAAATTGATAACAGAAGTTAATAAAGATAAAAAAAAATTTAAATAATTATACTAGAAATGTTAAAATGCGATAAATTATAAAAATGAAGTAGAAATCTGTTTTAATGCTTAAATAATAATAATTCTGATATTTAAATTTATTTTAAAATTATAATACAATAATATATTGAGATAAAAATATAATTTAATTAATTAGTTATACTTTAAAATTTTCTATATAAAAAGAGGATCTGTAAATTGTAATTAAAATAGTAGTATTATATAATAGTGATTTCAGATACAAAGTAAATATTCACCCTAACTATTTACAAATAAATATGAGTAATAATCATTAATACTATTAATCATTTTGATTACAATTCAATTCAAATAAATTAGGGATTAAGGGATCATATAAATTATAATAACAGTATTTATCATTAAAAATTACTACTAAGAATTTCAAATTCTTTTAAACTTATTATATTTTATATGAATTACAAATATTAATTATATGATTTGTAATGTAAGTTTAATAATTACTTTTATCCTTTCTCCTAAATATATCTAATTTTATAAATAAATAATATAAATTTAAAGCTAAAATAATTTTTAAAAAAAAAATTTTATATTATTTAAATTTAAATAACTTCTTATTTTC